GTCCACACAACCTTCTGGGACATCGGAGCCAAAATGGCTGCATTCGGTATCCAAAAAAACCTTCTCCTCGCTCCTCTTTTCTACTCTTGGTTCTGATGCGCTGAAAATGGATTCAAATCCGACGGGGCATGTCACGTTGATATGTTTCTCTGGGTTTCCGACGGGGGATCTCACGGTGTTTTTTCTTTGGTCCAGTTGTAGCCGCTGTTTTCGGCCGATGGCGTTTGCTGGCGGTCACTGCGAAAAAAAATTGAAACAGCGTGGATGCGTTGAAGACGACGACGCTGAAACCGACGACGCCGACGACGAAGGTGCAGGGGGGGGAGCGAGTGAGAGTTTTTGTTACTAAAGTGTAGCGCATTGGTACAAATAATACATACCCAGGTAACAGCATTGTAATGAATAAAGATTCTCGATTTTAGCCTTAGATGATATTACATGATAAACCTCAATATTCTCTAGAATCAAGGCCTCTGGGTGCACTCGGACGCGCCTGGGGCGGACCAGGACCTGGGCGTGGACATGCCCGGGGCGAACCAACCAGGCCCTGGATATGATGCGCATGGGGCTGGCCAGGGCTCGGGCGTGGAAGACTTGGAAGCGCTCCGTCGAGGCGGGCGGCCGGTTGGATGCCCACCCCGCTGGGGCGCTGAATGAATCGGCATATTGGAATGGGGCCAACATGGCTACGACACAGGAAACGGTGAAGATGACAACCGAGAGCGCAATGTTGCTTCGCGCATCCGGATGACGCGTTGGGCGCTGCTAAACACCGAGAACGGCGGCGTGACATCCCAGGCAGGCGTCGGAGGAGGGCGGCGACCCGGGCATCGACGGAGCTGCGAAAAGCGCCGGGCGACGCCCCGCCCGTGCAGAGCGGCTCAAGAAGGCGAACTACGAGGACGAGGACGTCGGGCAATCGGAGAAGACGATAAGTGCGCATAGCTCAGAGGCGGGCGTTATACTCGTCGCGGCCGGCACAGGCAACGCTCTCTGGCGCCAGAGCGACCGCGGGGGGGCGGGGGGGCCCAGGGCAGGCGCGTGGCGCGCGTTTCCGATGAGCACGGAGATGGCAAATCGAATGTTTCAGCAGCATCGGTCCAAACCAAATACATCGGCGCGCGGGCCGAGCCCGATTCCACCGCCGACGTTCCCTTTGGCCACGACGCCAGCAAATGGGGAAGAGATACGGGCGCGCGCCGCGGCGCGGGTCGGCGAGCTGCGCGGGAACTCGCGGCGTCGGGGGACTTTGGCCAGGGGCGGCGCAGCCTCCAGGCGCGCCCCCTCCGCTGCGATGCAAGGGCTGGTCGCGTCGCCAGCGACCCGCGAGGGCGCTCTCGTTTCCCCCGGCAGAACACAAGAAAGACGCGCGCAGCGGAACCTGCGCGCGCACAACCCGACAGAATAATGCAAACCCAAATGAATACAACGATCGGGGGGAAACGAGCGTGAACCACGGGCAACCGACGCGCGCATGCGAACTTGAATGCGCGCATTCGCCCCTGCTGCACCCGCGGCGGCCCCGCCGCCGCGGCGCCCCGAAGCCCGCCTGGACAAAGCGCCTCCGCGTCGGGCGTCGCGTCGGGCGTTGCCGGGGAGAGGCCGCGCTTCCCCGCCGCCCCCGGCTGCGATCTCTCGGCGCCGCGCTACCCGCGGCGCGCGACATTGCGCTCGCCGCGGCGGGCGACCTGATCTCCGCGCCGCAACGGACGCCGCGACAAAAGACTGCGCGCGACACGAATGATATCCGGTCCATTCCGCGCGCAACCGCGACTGGTCAGCGCCGTCGCTACCGCGACATTCGATGCGCCATCTGCGCGCCAATCCAAGACTTGTGCCGCGCGCCCTTTCAAGCCCCCAGCCCCCTCACTCTGGCGCCCGAAACAATGTGGTTTTGCCGCGCCCCGAAACATGCAACGCCCGCTCCTTGGCCACCCGCCCTCGTCGCCCCCTCCGAGGCAAGAAGCCGCGCGAGCCCCGCGGGGAGGAGCGCGCGGCGCTGCTCAACCAGGGGGCGACGCCGGCTCTGGGATGCGGAGGGAAGGCTTCCTGCGAGCAGCCCTCGGCCGCCCTCGCAACGAAACGCGGGTGCGCGGCGGGCTCGGCGAGGCCGAGGGCTGGCAGGCGCGCGACCTCCCGCTTGCCCCTGGAGGACAAGGCCCTAGCGATTGAGCTCCGAATGACGCAATTGTTTGCTCGGTTCGACCTCTACGCCGCTACGCCAAACGCGAGGACGTCCGCCCGATGGCCGGGAGGGCCTGGCCGCAAAGATGCGCGCGAGGTCCCCTTTCGCAGCGCAGATGGCGGCGGAGGAGAGGCGCCATGGCCGCTGGCAAGCGGGCTAGACGCCGCCCTCGCTGACCTCTTGGACCGACCCGCGAGGCGAGGAAGGGGGGATACCCCGAGATGCAGAGTATAATGATCCAGCGGGTTCGGCGCGTTCGGCGGCGGCGAACATCGCCGCCGACCGCGGCAGAAGGTGGCCGGCGGCCGCGACGCGCTGGGCACGGGAAGCGGCGCGGACGCGGCGCTGCGGGCGACGACGGCTGGCACGTGGGCGGCCGCCCGCAGGAAGGAGGCGTTCGGCGAGGAGTACGTCGACGATGGCGTGGGATCCTGCGGCACGGCGGCGGACGGCTGCCACCGCATCTGGGGCGACTGCCCGCGGAGGCCACAGCACGAATCCTTCGTGAAGACGGGTTCGCTGACGGCCGTGGCGGCGAGAGGCTACAATATCAAGCGTGCCCCATTGGCTGCGCGGGCTGCCGCCCAAGGCGTGGACGACGCCGCCGAAGTGCGTCACGGCCGCCCAGTTGACCGCCTTCGGCGAGGTCGGCCAGGGACGCCTGGCACAAATGGGGCGGCGATATCTTGCCTACGGGAGTGGAGGCGGCGGAGCGGAGGAGTCGGACGCGCGTTTCCGCCGCCGCGGTTGGGCCTGGTGTTTGATGGAGGTCGGGGGGGTGAGCCCAAGAACAAATGCGAGACAAACCCGAAAATCTGGCGCCGAAGCCGAAAATCCAGAGAGGACCAAACCCGAAAACGGGCAGAAACCAGAAAATCCGGAGGAACGAAACCCGAAACTCCAGGAACGGCCAACCCCTACACCCTAGAAATCTGCCTCCCCCTCCTCCTCCTCCTCCTCCCCCTCCTCCTCCTCCTCCTCCTTCTGCTCCTCCTCCTCCTTTTCGTCCTCGTCCTCGTCCTCGTGCTCGTCCTCATCCTCGTCCTCGTCCTCGTCCCCCTCTCCTCCTCTCCTCCTTCTCCTCCTCCTCCTCCTCCTCTTCCTCCCCCTCCTTTTTATTAATAATATTGTTATGTGTCATTCATATCATATTCGTATGGTTCCTCATACTCTTACTGTTCTGTACCATAGTCGTATCATTCGTATCCTTATACTTCTATTATTGATGCTTATTATTGTTATTGATCGTAGTGTTTATCGTTTGTCTCTGTGTGTTCGTCTTCTGCTTATGCTTATGTTTATGTGTCTGCTGTTGCGTCTGTTTATGCTGTATATGTATTAAACTCGTATTCGTGTAATTCGTATTATTGTGATCATTTATTAACGTTATTATTGTTATGTCTCCTCCTGCTCCACCTTTCTCTGCCTCCTTCTCCTCCTCCTCCTCCTCCTCCTCCTCCTCTTCCTCCTCCTCTTCCAACCCCCGCCTCCCCCTCCTCCTCCCCCCCTGCCGCGGCGACGGCGCCAGCGGCGACGGCGACGACGACGACGACGGAATCGGCTGCGGCGCCGACGACGACAGCGACGGCAAAGGCGACAGCAGCCGGCGGGGACGGCAACAAGACCGCACGGCCCGAGGCCCAGGCCCGAGCCGAGCCTGGGCACAAACCGCTCCCACGGCGCGCGCGCCCGTCCCTGCCCGGCCCACCGCCCGCGGGCCCGCGGACGCGCCCATGCTGCGCTCCTTCCAGAGACCCCCAAAGGCGGCCCCGCGGGCGAAGGTCGCACAAGTGAACAGGCCGGTCCGTATCTGTGACCGCCAGCTGCTTGTTCGGACCTCAAACGTCAAAGACCGAGAATGAAGGCCCCCTTTCCTTCCGAGGCTCTCGCCATGGACACTGCTGGACGCAGCTCGATTCCGCAATGATCAGCTGCAAAATGAAAGTCCCAGGCTTCCTTGCCTTCGCACGCCATCCTCGTCGCCACGGCTGGACGCAGCTCAGAGACCTCATCGGCGTGGACCACTGGGAACGAAAGTCACAGATATTGAAACACCTCCCCGAAGCTGTGACCCCCCGTGCTTGTTCCGACCACGAGACTCGCCGAACCGGATTAAACGCTCGAACGCTTGCTCTTCTTCCCAAGCCCTATCGTGAAGGCTGGACGCAACTCAGTACACTGGCCGCGCAGACCCCCTGGACTCAGGTTCCAAACAGTCTTGCCCTCGGGTGCCACGCTCGTCACAACGACTGAACGCAGCTCGGATAGCCAATCGGCGTTGACCCTCGGAGCCTAAAGTCGAGAGGTTCAGAGGCTAAATGAGGGAGGAGGTGGGAGGTGGGAGAGAGGAGGGAGGGAAGAGGGAGGAGGTTGTGATTCTGGCTAAACGCAGTGGGCAAGAGCGAGGAGGGAAGAGAGGGATAATTGGTTTTGTTTCCTGTGCCCTGGCTCCCCGAAGTCCAAGCCCCAGCAGGTGCGTGTCGCCATGAGGACACATGTGTTGTCAATCATTCCCACGCGCTGGCATCTTATGCCCCCTGGTGGCTGTGCACTAAATGTGGTTGCAGGGCTATGTAGGGGAGAGGCCATTTGAGGGAACTCGTGACAGAGTGTAAATGCCAGCAAAGTGAGAGTGCCACCAAGAAGGGGGCCTGGGTCCTCTCATACTAAATCACCCGAAGTAGCGTGTTCCGAAAAAGTCGGCTTGCGGTAATCTTTGGGTCCTCCTCCTCCTCCTCCTCCTCCTTCTCCTCCTCCTCCCTCCTCCTCCCTGTCCGGCCGCGGCCCTGCCCCTCCTCGCCCCCCACTCCCCCACAGAGCTGCGTCGGAGAGCGTCTGCAGGAGCGCCAGGCACGCCGCCACCTCCTCCTCCTCCCGCCAGCCGTGCTGCTCGGAGGCCGCGGCCTCCACGGCCCGGACCAGCGCCAGCAGCTCCGAGAGCACCTCCTGCCGCCTGTGGAGGGCAAAAAAGTGGCACGTCAACGTGCAGCCTTTCGCAGCGTGCGCGCTGATTCCTGGGATCGGCGCTCGACCCCCCTCACTTCTTCAGTCCTCCCTCCTCAGTCCTCCCACCTCACTCCTCCTCCCCTTCCTGCTATCCAAAAAATCCGCGCGGACCGCAGCCGCCCTGTTGCTCCTCGACCCCCTGGGCCTGGCGGCGACCTCCGCCTCCGCCGGCGAGCCGCCCGACAACGCCCGCATGCTGGGCCGCAGCCTCTTGTCCCACGCGGCCAGCGCGGCCTCCACAGCGTCCCCGGCCGGCGTCCTCGGCAGACGATCCGCCTGCAGAAGGCGCCAACTGCCGTTTGCACACCTGCAGCGATCCTGGCCAGGCCCACTCTGGACCCAGCCGGGACTGGTGTGCATGGCCTCCCGTCTGGCCAGCAAGGCGTGCACTCCGATCGTGGGCGAGGATTGGCCTGGCCATAGGGCGAGAATGATGTCATGATAGGGTTGGCTCAGGATACGTTCCAGGATTGCAGAGTATCTAGCGCCCATCGTTTCTGCAGCCCGTGTGGAACATGGGGGGATCTGGGGAATCCTTGAAATTTTGAAACATATAGCTCTCATGACCTCTTGATCCACATAGGCCAGAATCGGCGCAAGTGTATAGTTGGCGCCCTCCGAGCCTCGAAGGCGCAGCGCCAGCACTCACACTCGAAGCCCCACGCGGAGGAGCGCTCCCGCCGCCTCTTGACGGGGTGGCATGTGTCAAAATCCGCTGGCCCGCTCGGGTGTTCGTTAACGGGTGGGAACAAACGCGCAGTGAAGCAACGTGCACCGCCCGACCGGCATTGGTCCAAACGTCAGGTGAACGACGAAAACAAACGGGTCCTACGCGAGACGACATAGCGACCTGACGCGGTGTGTTACGCGGGCCGCCGGCAAAACACGTTACACTGAAGGCGAGTGCGCTTACGCGCGACCTTACGCGGGCAGCTTCCGCGCGAATGTCGTCGCAGTCGACCCCGTGTTCTTTCGTCGCTCAGGTGGTGACGGAACGTCGCGATGTCTAATTTTCCCGCGGCCTGGGCCTCTGCGAAGCCTTGCTCCGGGCCCCCATGGCCATCAGACAGCGATCTGGGATACAGCAACCTTCGCCGCGAAAGGGTCCTGTCAAGCAGCATGGGTTCCCCACCGGCCCCATGGATGCTCGAATGCACTCTCTGATGCCAGATTGCCGCCTCCTGCGCTGCTGGCACCCTTCACTGCTGAGCCGCTGTGTCGTGCGACATGGCTCGCGAACGAGGAATGGGTCGAGAGGTCTGGTGATCACTTGGGGAGGTGCGTCGCCAGAGATCTCCTGGGTCACGCGAACCTCTCCTTATCTAGGTACGACAACTATTTTCGTGTAGTCGTGTACCACCAGTGTTATCCACACGTACATGTTCGACAGTCTGGACACAACCGCATAGTGCGATTACATACGTCACATATAGACAATACGGCCATATTTGGCTCAGACCATCATTCAGTAAACACAATAAACAGCACTGCCGATGTGACGATGGTGATGGTGATGAGTACATTTGCGATGATATCATGATGATGATGGTGATGATTATGATGATGATGATAAGGCTGATGATGCTGATGATGATGATGATGGTGATGATGATGGTGATGGTGATGTTGATGTGACGATGGCGAGGGTGATGATGGTGATAGTGATGGTGATGATTATGTTTTTTAGTCAAGCGGAACCATGGGCCCATGGCCCATTCGCTCTCTCTTCGAGTCTCGGCAGCGCCCCAGCCCCAAGCACACCCATGCTGGGGCTAAGAGGGGAGACGGGGCAACGGAAAACAAGAGGGCCAAGAGCATGAGAAGGAAGATAATGAGACGAGTACGCTACCGAGGGCAAAACACCTGCAGCTCAGCGAATCGACTGCTCTATGCAGTCATCGCTGGAGCCTCCCCGTTGGGTTCTCTGTTCGACTCGTGGAGGCGCAGCCTCTCTCTCGTAACTTCCCTGTTCCCGCCACGTTTCCTTCACTACCTTCCCACCGCCCGTGCCTGAGAGATGGCCTGCCTCTTCCAGCAGGCGTTCGGCCACGGCCGAGCGATCCCTAGAACGCATCCGCCGAAAACTGCAAGACCTGCAAAGCTGCAAACACTCAGAGCTTCAAGTGCTTAGGGCACGCTGGGCACGGCGTGCTCGTGAGGACGCTTCTCGCTGCCTGGCTGGCCACCTTGTTGTTAGCGGCCGTCTCCTTGGCCCGCTTCTCGTCGATGCTCTTCAGGGCATCCTTGCAGGTCTCCTTCGAGAGCATGCCTGGGACAACGCCCCTGGTGAGCTGCACGGTGCCGACGGCGTTCGAAGTCCAAGCAGCGGCCTCGAGGTACGGGATTTCCACGGGGATAGAGTCGGGCAAGACTTTGAAGAAGAGCGCCGACTCACTCTTCTTAACATCGGCCAGGGAGATATCGAACTTGGCGACCTTGACGTTCATGGATGGCTCTTCAGCAAGCACCTTAGTAGGCACTACAGACTTGCTCACGCGCGGCTTCTTAGTAGGGGGAGACTGGGACTTCGGCTGCTCAGCAGATGCTTCAGAGGGGCCTGCACCACCTGCGGGCAGTAGCTGCCCACCTGGCGCGATCTCCACGGCAACGGCTCCTGCGCCAGAAGACGAACTTTGAAGTGCACCGACTGCGCCAGCTGCCTTGTCCGCTGCAATCGCCTTTGCCGATGCCTTCTTGGCAGCGGCCTTCACGCTCTTATGGGCCTTCACCCCCCAAGCTGCCAAGAACCAGGGGCTCGTGCTCCCATCCTTGCAGGCCGCGTAGATGGACGCATTGAAGACCTCGGCAATCTTGATCGCACCCTCGCTGGGCACTAAGGAGAGCGACCCGAAGTAGTTGAACAGCATCCCGCGCGGCATGGGCGCGTCGACGCAAAGGATCCCATCCTTCTCGTACACCTTGGAGTAGCCGCTGTCGGAGTGTGGGCCAGTCCCAACACTGCATCGCCTCGTAAGCGCCAACTCCATGATCTGCAACACGATGCGAAACTGACTTGGAGATCCTCTCGTACCAAGGATCCTGACGATGCAAGTGTCGCCGATGTGCCTGACGGCACTTCTACACGTTACCTCCTCCCCACTCCTCCCCCATATGTTTCTTCCAATCGTCCGCATCTTCCAAGACAGCGAGGAAGACGAGGGTGATTGGACGAGGAGGAGTCGAAGGGCGTAACATGCAGAAGTGCCTCCTTGCCGCCACGCTTGGCGCCGTAGTGACTCCTGTAGTACTTGGAGTGCCATCGGTCTCCTTCTTGATAGTCTCCGTCGCGGCACTGTCCAGCTCTCGGGAGATCGTCGAGACGCAGTCCGTGCAGGCATTCACAGTCTCGCACTTCATGAAGGCCTGCCACGCCTTCTTGTAGAGGTCGGCCGTGCGGATGCGCCTCAGCAGAGCAACGAAGCTGTTGGTAACCTCAGAAGTCATGTCGTCGATGACCTTATTCCTGATGACGGGGGTGTCTGGCATCAGGCGCTTGACCGCTAACAAGGCAATATGGAAACGCATCCGTGTCAGTCGCACGGCCCCGTCTTTGTTGGTGAAGATTGCGTCAATCGTGTCTTGGATAACCTCCTTCATCTTGACGCCAGCCTCATAGACGAACTCGATGCATAGATTCGCGAAGTCCTCCCACTCTGGCTCGACGATGGCTGGGACATCCGTGAACAGGACCTCGAGGACCGAGTCAATCCCCCCGCTGTCGCGAACGGCGATGGCCCGATCCATCAGCTCCTGGCAGCGCTCGCAAGTGCACTCTCCTCCTCCCTCCTCCTCCCTCCTCCTCCCTCCTCCTCCCTCATCCTCCTCCTCCCTCCTCCTCCTCCTCCCTCCTCCTCCTCCTCCTCCTCCTCCTCCTCCTCCTCCTCCCCCTCCTCCTCCTCCCTCCTCCTCCTGGTTTGCTCGGCGCCCTTGAGTTGGGGAAGAACTTCGTAGCCCCAGTCCGTCGTGAGGTTGCACTGCTTCGCGAAGCTCGTCAAGCGCAGGACCAGCGACTCGTCGTGGTACATCCTCCTGAACTTCTGAAGCCTCCTCTGGGCTTTAACCGCATCTGTCGCGTCGACGGGTGCACTGGCTGTGCCCTCCGACTTTTTCTCCGAATCGTCTGCCGTCGCCGACCGACTGTTGGTGATGTTGGTGGCATCGTCCCCTTTGAGAAACTCTTCCATGAACTTCGCGAGGTCGCTGTCGTTGCCGCTTGCCGACGGCACCCCAGGCACCCCAGCCAAATACCCTGCACTGAACAACTGAGGATGCTGGTTGATGACGAAGTTGACGATATCCTTGCGGACGGGGCCCCACCAGACCCTCTTGGCATCCATGTTCGGCACGCGCTCGGTCCAGCATAGATGGAGAGCCATCCGTGCAGCAACGATCCCAACTCGATCACTACATGAACATTCTCCTTGCACACTGTTGGTAGCCCGCAAGCAGGCGAAAGGATTGATGATGGCCGTCTTCAGGGTGTCGACCCAGATAGTGCTCTTAATGGTTGTCGCGTCCGCGGCATGCTCCTTGAATGCAGTTAGAGCTGCAGTGCCATCGTCCCGCTTGTTTTTCTTGGTATTGTTCGCGGACCCCTTGTTGCCGTTCGGTTTCACATCAGTCGAGGGGGTCACTCCTTCAACCTTAGCGCTCAGCATGCCCATCATCTTCTCCATGGTGTCCACGGTCATCTTGGAATTGAAGAGTAACGGAAGCTTTGGGACGCCATTGAAGTAGCAGTCTTGGTTCAAAGGGGCTTCGTCGTCCACTGGCAAGCAAGCCTCGAGACCGACGTAGAAAATATACTCCCAGACCTTGCCCTCGTCCTCGCTCGCGAAATAGTCGAGCAAGTTCGACATCTCCTTGGGCCACGCGGCCACGGAGCTCAAGCACCTGCCCATTGTTTTCTCGATCTCCTCTGCATCCGTGTTCTCTTCGACCCACGACACGAACTTGTGCACTTGGAACATGTTCACCTCGAGCGGATCCGACGCCGAGGGCGCTGCACCAGCACCAGGTATCTTGGACTTGGTCAAGTTCGTGTAAATCTGCTTGGCATGCTTGAACAGCTGGAACTCCGAGTACGTGTCCTGTAGGGCAGCAAATAATTATATCTAAAGAGACCCAGAAGAGAGAGGGGGGCGGCCGTCGACGGGCCGTCGATTTTGGTTCGGGGACAAATTCGGGATACAGTGCTTCACCAAATATGGTTGCGAATACTGCGTCCTCGTACCGATCGCTGATGAAGGTCGCGAGCAACTTGTGGTACGTGTACTCGCCCTTCGTGGGCAATGTACTTGGATCGATCTGCCGACTTGCCAAATCATCTTTAAAATTTGCCAAAACTCCAGGGACTGCGAGCACCCTCTCTGGCAACGTGTCCTGCACGCCCTTGTTGTTCCTGTTGCTGTGCTTCACGATCTCATCCATGACGTCCCTCGGCATCTCCCTCGGCCTCATCATGACTTTGTACCCCAACTCCTTGGCCCGAAGCACGTTTGGGTTGGTCGGGGCAAGCTCCCACGCACGATAGAACGCCATGGCCAACTGCTTACCTCCGAGGAGGAGGGTCTCGCTGGAGTCCACGTCTGATTCATACCCCTGCGGGATGCCTCTGCCCTCGGGGTCGTACCCCTCGGAGATGATCCTCTTCATGTATTTCTTCTGGGCGGACTTGAGGTTCCGAGGGTTGAGTGGGCTGCCCTTGATTGTTGGGGATCCATCTGGCAGGAACCACGGTCGCTGCTCGACCTTTTTGGCGTAGCACTTGTCGATTTGCTCTCAAATTTCACCTTTCGTTTGCAGCTCTGGCCATCGAAGGCACACGTTGGCCCTTGGGCCATAAAGTTGGTCGGAGTTCGAAGTTTTCGCAGCAGGGCTACCGCCCGCGGCCCCGGCGCCGCCGGGGTCGCCCATGATGCTGCCACGTACAATATGCGGCGAGGACTCTGCGATAAAGAAACTCTGGGAAACCAAAAGGAGAGGGAAGCCAGTCGCCCGACGCATGAGCCCAAATGGCTACCGACGGAGGGCGGAGGAGGAAGGGGAGAAGGAGGACTCAGACGGAGGGCCCCGAGAGGGCCGCAGGAGGGCCCCGAGTGGGCCCAGGAGCACGAGTGTGGTTTTTTTTTGCACCAGCGCTAGCCCCCCCCCAGAGAATCACTTCTCTCTTCTTTCGGTGCTCTCTTAAGTCATGTCTTTGCGTCGGTGCTAGCCTCCCCCCCCCGAGAATCATTTATCTTCGGAGGTCCGCGCGGATTTCTTGGATCGGCGGCCATCAGGTTTCAGGCGGGTGAGCAATGCCCCCCACGAGCGGGCTCCAATGAGGGCCCCGAGAGAGCCCTGGAGGGCCCCAAGAGGGCCCCAAAGAAGCACAGGTTGGGGGCCAAACCGGCACCGACCCCCCCTCAAACAAAAACAAAACAAACATTACTTCACAATTAATGTTCGGAAGCTCCCCCTCCCCCCACCCCCCTCTGCAGCCTTTCGAGCGCAGCTCGGGGGGAGGGCGGAGGGGGGGAGAGGGGGAGGGGCCCCAGAGGTGGGGAGGGCGGGGGCGGGTTGGGAGGGGGGGGGGGGGTACTTAGCGCAGCGGGCCCAGAGGTGGGGAGGGCGGGGTAAGGGGTGGGGGGGGGGGGTACTTAGCGCAGCCCGCCACGGCTCAAATCGGTTCGCATTCGGTCGAAATCGCAAGTGGAAACCCAACTGGCGCGAAGCCGAACTGAACAAAAACGACAGCTCGCACATCGGAATACAGCTGGAAAACTAACCAAAATTTTGAATTTTGGAGGTCGCGCCCACCCAGATCTCCAAAATTAATAATTTTGGGCTTAAGTCGTATCAAAATCCTCCAAAATTATTAATTTCCAACATAATTCTCATCCAACTCATCCAAAATTAATAATTTTGAAAGTTTTCGGGCACGCCCGTGCAAAACACTTCGCAAACACAAGCCGTGTCGGGTGAGTTTCGTCGTGCGTTTCGTTTCGTTTCCGTTGCTGATGCGATGCGTGATCGTGTCAAAACTGTGCGGCCACACTGGTGGAACCGACAGAAACCTGATAGCGTTGTGAGTGGCGCTGGCTAGTGTCGACACTACAATCGTTTCGGCCAGACCCCGACGAGTCGGTGCACCTACCGCCGAGGGACCGTCCAGAGAGCGAGGGTGGCAGGGCCCTGGCAGGGCCACCCCACCTGGGAGGCCTCTTGGGCCCCCCCCTCCCCCCCACGAACTTTGTATACTTGCATTTTTGGGGGGCTTTCCGCACCGCTGATGGGGGGGCGCGGCTGTAGCAAAGTTAAGTTTCTGGAGTGATGGATTGGGGGCTCCTTGCCCTGTCGCGTGGCTCTACCGTTGCCTTTTTCCTCGTGCTCAGAAAAAGGTCGGGGCCCAAATGCCCCCAGTGGATGGGCTCACTCGGTCTGCGCGCATGCTACAGCTGCACATATAGAGCACCTCGTTTCCTGAAACAATTTAGGCAACACCGCCCGCGGCCGCTCCACGCTCTCCTGCGCGAGAGCGTCCGACGTGGCCGCCCAAACGCGCACGGACTCAGCGCAGCGAGAATGCGCAATCTGAGTGCACACGCCGCAGGTGAGCAATGCATCATCGGCCGCTTGCGCAGCCGACTTGCAGATAAAACAAACGCCCACGCAGGCAGGCACAGGAGGCTTACATTGTTTACTGCTGCTGGCTGCGGTCTCCAAGTCGCTGGACAAAAGAGCCTTGCGACTGATGGCGATTTCCGCCATTCTTTTCAAACGAAGCGAAACCTTGGGAACAACGGGCCGATCTGGTTTTCGAACTTGCTGCATTCGGGCACCTATGTCAACCAGGAGCGTTTCAAATGGCACTCCTTTCGGGCACCGTTTCGTCTGGAACTCGATCGGAGGGAAGGCCGCTGCAACGCTGAACACCAGCTTGCCATCCTCAAGAAGGACCTCACGTCCGACCAAACCTCCGCGATTGCATTTGCTCTTGATCCAATGGATAATGCTCACGACGCAGGCCCTATCCTTATCGTAAACTACGAGGCTGGCGTTTTTCTCTTGCTCATCTGGCTTATAAACCAAAGGAGTTGCCCGCTGGCTCTGCATTTCCAGCGCCGCTTGGAATGAAACGCAAAAGTCTTCCTGCCAGGATCTGAACGCCGCCTCCAGGCCGTGCGCCCCCAAAGCTGGCACTGGAGCATCTGCGTTCCAAGTCGCGGGGTGGCCATATGTTGTGATAACCTCCCCCAAAGCATCCTTCACAACGCCATGAGGGTCATCAATCGTGTCAGGGCCGTCGCCACCCATGGAGGCTATGACCTCATCAACCTTCTCGCTGACCTTGGGGTCGGCGAGCAGGTCGCTCTCCTCGGCATTTAATTCCTCGGCTTCGCACGTGCCTGTCTCCTGGTCGAGACGGACCTCCGCACCATCGCCAGCCTCCCCGCTCGCAAGCTCAAGTGGTTCAACCTCCGCGAGCTTCTCGCCATCGTGGTCAGAGGCATCGTGGTCTGATGGGTCGACGTCGGCAATGGCCAAGGCAGCCTTTGTCTTCGGCGGGTTCCAACGTGCGAGTTCCCCCAACATGGATTCCTCTATCAACTTCTGATCTGGCGCCATAGTCCATGAAAAGTAAGGCAGAGCCTGGTCACGCATATCGTAAAGCGAGGCGAACAACAGCTCAGACTGAAAATATCTCAAGGGGCGCTTCGGCGTCACAACGCGGCCTTCCTCGAGTCGGTCCACCTGTTGGATGGGCGGGTCGGGCAATCCGCTGGCAACGTCATGTACTCCCTCACTCCTCCCCCTCCTCCTCCCCCTCTTCCTCCTCCACCTCCTCATCCACCTCATCCTCCTCGCACCTCCCCTCACTCCTCCTCCGTCGTCCTCCCCCTTCGCCCTCATCGGTCCCACTTCCTCCTCTCGGGGGACAGGCGACGACAACGACGTGCCAGCGATTCGCCGATCCGAACCATCCGAACCTGCGCCTCGAGAAGATGGCCACTCCAGCCATGAATATGAGGCGTGAGGAAATACCGAGGGCCGTCTCCACCCGGCAGCACAAGGAGCGCACGCAAGTTGAAGCCCTGCCTCCCCCTGACGAACGCGATCCACTCGGCGTTATAGTGCCTGCCCCAGGCCAGCGCGGTAACAGTACATGGTAGTGGCGCAAGTGGGATGGACGATCGAATGGCACCGTCAATCGGCGGTGGAGTCGCCCACCGCTGCAGATCCTCAAGCACCTGGTTCATCAACGAAAAACTCGATGTAGCTGTGTCGACCGATGCTTGCACGTGCGGCCGCATCTGCGCTGCCGAATGTGAGCACACGCCGTCTTTCAAAATAAAGCAGCGCCCGACGACGCGACTGGAACCCAATGGAGGCTTCATGCCTGGAGCGAAGTTCCAGGCGGATATTATCATGTTGTTGATCCCCTCGATGTATCCAGTATCGCTGGGGTAAGCTTCGCACCATATGGCAATCTGAAGCCAGAGCAAGCCAGGGCATCTGCCCCTAGAGGAAACGACTTGTCCCAACTCCACTGCAAACATTTTCTTCACTTTACGTGCGCATATTTCGAGTTTGCAATCATCTGTGTTTAGCAGCTCGCTTACGACTTCAAGTCTATCTTCGCATTCGATGCCCCTGCCACGTTTTGCTATGAGAAGAAGTCTTGCAGGGAACTTTTGGACCAGCATCCACGAAATTCTTCTGTCAAAATCTGCATGGTGCCCCAACGTGAAAGTAAAAATCGCCTCCGTGAGATCGGGTCTGATACATTCAGGGACCTCTAGCAGTATGTCCAACCACGCCTGTGAAGCCGTAAGCTTCTCGAGCTCAGCCAAAATATCCTCATCGGCAAGACCGAATGTTTCGCATCAAACACTGGGGATCGAAAAAAACAAAGGACGACGTGGCGGCGAAAGCCCGAACATCCGTCCGATTGGTCCGATTGGGACCGCCCTGGTTAGAAAACGTTCCGCCATCATCTTCATAACCTTTCCCCCCCTAGACCCGCTTCCAGGTTTGATCTGAATCACTCGGTCCTTGCACTTCCCCCATGTCAGGAGAGCGACCTTCCCTGGCCTCCGAAGGTCGCCGTCGATGTTGATGACCTCCAGCGGCTGCAAAAGCCAGTGGTAGAAGTGGTTGAGCGGCTCCCTTGCCCTATGGCATATCCTCATGATGATAGGGATGAAACACTCGTCGGTGACGGCCAAGGCCGTATCCTCTCTCCATTTACCTTGCTGGGCCGAGTACACTTTTGAAGATTCCACTGCCAACTCCTGAGTCCCGTCAACATCGGCGATCGGCTTGGGCGCGGCCTCAGCTTGAGCATCTTGAATACCAGCAGCGCCGACGTTGGCCGTGGCTGCGGCCGCTGGTCTGACAGGAGACTTCAAAGGCCCATCATTCCCATTTCCAATCATTGCTTGCCGTAACTGCACAACGGGCGCTTTCAGGATGCAGGCCTCTGCTTTGTGAACCGATCCCCATCTCCCAGACAAAGCTTGCGGCGGCCTCCCCCGAGAATATTTTGAGGCATCCAATGCCCCATATAGTGAAACCCATCTGTCGTGTATCTGTTTGCTGTAATCCCTCCAACAATGTAACAGTTTGACCACTGTGCTGAAGTATCTTCTATCTGCATTCGACTGTCGCCTCAAAACTGTGCAAAACTTATCCGACCATTTGAGAGACCGCTGCACCATCAGGTGGAACTGGTGCATCAGGCAAGCAGCGCTGAACACATTCACTGAGCCATCGCATTCCGCAGCTGCCATCGCAAATGCCTTGAATTTATCTTCATCTCCACCGCTATCCGTTCCAAGGAAAAACGATATCGATGTTATGATCCCAATGTCAGATAGTGTTTGCGATGCCGCAATCATCTTGTCATCGCGTCGCCATGGTGGACACCCCATACTGGTCACCTGCTTTGCGTACATGGCGTACGTGTGCTCGGCGGAAGCACCGCCGACCTTCAAAATATCCCCCAGACCAGTGATCCCCGATCGTGATTCACCCAACTCTTTCCATGTCGTCTCGTTTGTCGCATGGATCTGAAAATATTGACTCCTCACTTCGCATGTGTGCAATTTTTGCTTGAACTTCATTGTGTTTGTCGCGTCGCCTCTAACCGTATGGCTCACAAAGCGGATCACCCTGCATGAGTGATCACTCGGATCTGGCATTGGACGTTCAGGTACATGGTAAAGCCAAGTTTCACAGTCGGCGAACCACGCTTTCCGCCAGGCCTGCACGCTAGCAACGAAATTTATCTCCCATCGGCATACTGTTGTATGGTCCACATCCATACCGTTTACCAAAGAAAACCTCCTGCTCGAAACTCCTGTGACGATCCGTTTGACAGCCATACCAAAGCCCCCCCTCGGGGAGAAGTATCGAGCGCCTTCCCCTCGAAAAATTAATTTCGCAAGGGCTGAGTTCTCACTGGCACCCTTTTCCTTCAAATTGTGTCGCAGACACGCCAGCTGGCGAGTCAATCGTGAATGTTCCTTCAAGAGCTTCTTGTTGTCATTCTCCAATGTTTCATTTCGCTGTCGGAGACGAATCACCTCGGGCACTTGGTTTCCATCGTCATCATCTTGACCCGATGCACTGCTGACTTCAATGTCTGGTGCTTGGATCAGAAAATCGCACACAGTGTGAATATCGACATGCTTGTAGATTTTCTTGATATGATCTGCAACTCCTGGATAGAAAGGAACCCATTCATCCCCTTCGGACATGCCGCCGCTGCTATTACCGAGTCGAATTCTCCTTTTTTTCTTCTCTGGGTCCAAAGCTTTTCTGCTCTCGCTGATCACTCGTAGCGTATTTTCTCTGTGGCATTCGATCGTTTGGTTTTGAAGTTGGGACACGCGGACAAATGGGCGAAGCGACGCAGCAAGTATACCTTCCATAATCCATATCAAAGTAAACATCTTGAGCCACAATGGCTACGGAGGAGGAAAGTATACAACAAGGGCAATTGTTCGAATGTCTCTGGGGTCTCTGGGGGACTACAATGCGATGTCAAAGTGCAATCTCACCCGAGTATCTCAAGGGGGCGAAGCGGTCCGCGGTAACTGAACCAGTCACGACCTGGCGCGTGAGACGCCTCTCGCAATTCATTTCAGAAGCTGTGGCTCGCGGCACAGGGAGTAAAACATGTTGTTCACGGCGCGTCGCCTTTCTATTTCTAGGGCGTTCTCACGGACAAGCGTTTCGTTATTAAGGAAAACGCCGCTCACTAATATTGTGAACTGTTGTTTTTTTGGTGTTGATTCAACGTGAGTGAGTTTAATCGTGCTAGATTATCATGTACATGGTTGCGATGTGTGCGCGCGTTCTCTTCGTCGCTGGTTTTCAATGAGCACCAAAATTATGGCAGACTGCGTTAAGGCAGGCATTGATGCGACGCGCGCAGAAGCTGGGACGCACCACCCCAGTGATCACTCGCATGCCAGGGCGGGGAGAATCCATCACCCCAGCAAAACAGTCGTGGCTGCTTGGAGAGGACGCGCGAGAGGACACGAGACCCTTCTGAGGGCTACACTGCCATAGAAGTGCAGAAGGCATGGGTCGCGAAACGCAGGACAGATGGGCAATTACCCTTCATTGGGCAGGGTCGACCCACTAATCAGCCTCGACTGCATTCTGGGCGGGGGGAATCCACAAGCCAAACCCAATAACATCACCCTCGTCCCTAGCCAGCCCAGGCCAACCCAAGGGCCCTGTAGCATCGGCTCACCAGGCGCTCCCTGTCGAGGCCGCGGAGGCTGCATGACACAATCTTGTGAGGCCGCCTCCCCCCAAGGAGCCGCAACGATTTTGAAATTGAGATTTTTTCATCCTGTCGACGTCCTGAAACTTGGCATTGGGATGGCATCGCGGGCCGCCCGAGCGTTATCGCATTGTCGCGCGCCGCTTCCTCCTGCTGCTGAAACGCGCCGCGCAGGCTACGAAGACGCGACCAAGGCGGGCCCGAATCCAAGACGCCATGTGGCCGCCGTGGATCTCTCCGCCGCGGCGACACTTCACCCTGCGGTCGTTGGGCGACGCGCGCGTCCAGCGCTCCCACGCGCACTCCCGCGCGCACTCGTGGCCCCCGATGCGCCCCCCATCCGTTCGACGGCTCGAACATGGCCGAAGGGGGCCCTGCGTGCTTTCTGAAGGGGGGGCTGAATCCACAATGGCCCCCTCGCGGGCAGGCGAGCGCTGCCCCTCTGACTCAACTGCGAAGCAAACTAACCCCGAAGACTGCTAGGTTTCTAAGTGGGCTCAAAAAAAAATGACTCCCCAGGGGGGTCTGGGCAGATGCCGGACCGGTGCTGCGGGAATCCGGGGACTCCCCATTTTCACCGCCAGGGGCCACATTTTGACTGCCTGGAGCCAACAGAACAGCATTCCCAGGCCACATGTTGAATGCCCGGAGCCAACTGTAAACCACTTCGTATTCTTTGCATTCCCAGAACACGATTCCCAGGCCACATTTTGAATGCCCGGAGCCAAATGTAGACCACTTCGTGTTCTTCGCGCTACCACAGCACCATTCCCACGTGAATTTTGAATGCCCAGAGCCAACTGTAGGCCACGTCGTGTTCTTCGTGTTCCCAGAACACCACTCTTGCGCCATATTTTGATTGCCCGGAGCCATATGTGGGCCACTTCGTGATCTTCGAGTTCCCAGAACACCAGTCCTGTACCATATCTCGAATGCCCGAGCTGAGGCAGGCTGAGGCCGAGGCAGGCTGAGGCCGAAGCAAGCTGAGGCTGAGGCTGAGGCACGCCGAAGCCGGCTGAGGCTGAGGCTGAAGCTGAGGCAGGCTGAGGCTGAGGCGGGCCGAGGCTGAGGCTGACGCAGGTTGAAGCCGAGGCAAGCTGAGGCTGAGGCTGAGGCAGGCTGAGGCCGAGGCAGGCTGAGGCTGAGGCTGAGGCAGGCTGAGGCTGAGGCCGAGGCAGGCTGAGGCTGAGGCCGAGGCAAGCCGAGACAGGCTGAGGCTGAGGCTGAGGCTGAGGCTGATGCTGAGACAAGGTGAGGCTGAGACAGGCTGAGGCTGGGGCTGAGGCAGGCTGAGGCTGAGGCAGGCTGAGGCTGGGGCCGCGGCAGGTTCAGGCCGAGA